CACCAAGGGTGAGGTCCCTGATGTTTTGATCCCTTGGATCCGCGCTGCCCGTCTCCAGCTCCGCGAGCGGTTCGGGACGGAGTTTCCCGTCCTGCGTCTGCACTCTGACAGAGGTGGGGAGTTTTCCTCCGACCTTCTGCAGAGCTTTTGTCGTGGGGAGGGCATTCGCCAGACTTTCACGCTTCCGGCCTCTCCGCAGCAGAATGGGGTTGCTGAGCGCCGCATTGGCTTGGTCATGGAGGTCGCTCGTACCTCCGTGGTCCATGCGGCTGCCCCCCATTTTCTGTGGTCGTTTGCGGTCCGGTACGCCGCGCATCAGCTCACCCTCTGGCCCCGTGTCTCCTTGCCGGAGACCTCGCCCACACTGCGGTGGACGGGGGAGGTTGGCGATGCGTCAGTGTTCCGGGTCTGGGGTTCTCGTGCCTTTGTCCGCGATACCACCGCGGACAAGCTCTCCGCCCGCGCTGTTCCCTGTGTCTTCCTTGGCTTTGTCCCTGACGCGCCTGGTTGGCAGTTTTACCACCCCACCTCGCGCCGTGTCTTCCCCTCTCAGGACGTCACGTTCGACGAGTCGGTTCCCTTTTACCGTCTCTTCCCCTACCGCACTGCCCCTCTCCCCCCCCAGCCGCTCTTCCTCGCTCCAGGTGCTCCCCAGGTAGACCCCCTCCCTGCTCCCGGTCCTGCTCCTTCAGGTGTGTCTCAGGTAGACCCTCCTCCCTTGTCTGCGCCGGTTGAGTTCACTGGTGACTCAGGTCCTGCTCGGGGTGCTGCTTCTGGGGGTGCTGAGCCTGGGGGTGCGGAGCCTGGGGGTGCTGAGCCTGGGGGTGCGGAGCCTGGGGGTGCTGAGTCTGGGCGTGAGGAGTCTGGGGGTGCTGAGCCTGGGGGTACTGAGTCTGGGGGTACTGCACCTGGGGGCGCTGAGGCGTCTGGTGAGCAGTCTCCTTGGAGCGGCCGTCTCCGTAGTCGCTCCGCTGGTGCCTTGCCGCTGCACTCTCGTCGTCGTCTCCCTCTCTCCCCTCGGCAGCTGCGTGAGTGGTACGTTAGCCGTCAGGGTCGAGCTGCTGGAGCTAGGGGCCCTGCTGCGGGAGGCGCTGGAGCTGGTGACTCAGCTACTGGAGTTGTTTCTACTGGAGGCCCTGGAGCTGGAGGTGCTAGTTCTGGGGGTGCTACTGCTGGTGGCGCTGGCGCTGGAGGTTCTGGAGCTGTTGGAGGTGCTGGCACTGGTGGCGCTGGAGCTGGAGGTTCTGGAGCTGCTGCAGGTGCTGGCGCTGGAGGTTCTGGAGCTGTTGGAGGTGCTGGCACTGAGGGTTCTGAGTCTGCTGTTGCGCGGTCTCCTTGGAGTAGCCGCCTCCGTCCGCGTGTGCCTCTCACCTCACAGCAGCTGCACGACTGGTACGGTCGCCGTCAGGGTCGCTCTTCTGGAGCTCGGGGCTCTGCCGCTGGAGGTACTTCTGCTGACGTCACTGGAGCTGGGAGTGGTGCTGGTCCCGGAGGTGCTCGTACTGGAGGTACTGGATCTGCTGGGGCTGGAGGTGCTGAGCCTGAGGGTGCTACTGCTGGAGACCCTGGGTCTGGGGGTGCTGCTGCTGGAGACACTGAGGCTGGAGACCCTGGGACTGGAGGTGCCGGTTCTGGGGGTGCTGCTGTTGGTGGAGCTGGTCCTGGAGGAGCTGGCGCTGAGGGTTCTGGAGCTCCTGGAGGTGCTGGAGCTGCTGGGGGTACTGGAGCTGCTGGTGCTGGTGTCACTGCACAGCCGCGCCTGTTCTTTGCTCCACCGTCTCCGTCGTCTCAGCCACCGCCTAACTCTGTGCTTCGCCAGGTTCTTAGTCTCCCTTCGTCTACTGGTCTTCCGTTACAGCCTGGCTCACCGCTGCCTGCTCCTTCTCCTTACACTGAGCAGCCAGGGGGTCTTACTGTGCGTCATGAGCCTGCGTCGCGTCCTGTCTCGCCTGTCTGTTCTGGTCGTTCCGGTCGTCGTGTTCCTCGTCCGCGTCAGCCGGCTGTCCCCGACACCCACCTCGTAGTCCGTCGTCCTTCCTCTCCTCCGCAGCGTGTTCCTCTGCCGTCTCCTCCTGCGTCTTCTCTGCCTGTCGTTGCGGACCCCGAGTCTGACCGGTTTCGTGCTGAGTACCCTACTATCACGCGTCTGCTAGCCACTGTTGTCACTGACCCGTCGTTTGAGTATGCTGCTCCGTCTGCCTTAGTTGCTGAGCTTGTTGACTTTGCTGCTGCCTGTCGTCTAGACTACGCCGCTAGTCTTGTTGCTGAGTCTGAGTCTGTCTGTCCTCCGTCCGTCGGGGGTGAGTGTGCTCTTGGCACGGACGTCCTTGAGGACAGGCAGGAGGACCTTGAGTGTCTTGCAGCCGCTGCGCCTCATCTCATGTCCATGCTGCTTGCCCCTGAGGGAGACCCGGATGCTCCAGACATCCCGACCCCACGCTCTTACGCTGAGGCGATCGCGGGTGAGTACTTCTCTCAGTGGCAGAGAGCCATGGACGCAGAGATGGCATCCTGGAAGTCCACAGGCACGTACGTCGACGAGGTTCCCCCTCCTGGGGCGAACATCGTCAGTGGCATGTGGATTTTCAGGGTGAAGCGGCCGCCGGGTTCTCCGCCTGTCTTCAAGGCTCGTTACATTGCTAGAGGCTTCAGTCAGCGAGAGGGAGTTGACTTCTTCCAGACCTTCTCCCCCACCCCGAAGATGACCACTCTTCGGGTGCTGCTGCACGTTGCCGCTCAGCGTGACTACGAGCTTCACTCTCTTGACTTCAGCACAACTTTCTTACAGGGCAGCCTGCACAAGGAGATCTGGCTGCGCCGCCCACCTGGCTTCACTGGGTCGTTCCCTGCTGGTACCCAGTGGAGCCTCAGGCGGCCGGTCTACGGTCTCCGCCAGGCGCCACGTGAGTGGCACGACACACTGAGGACGACACTTGCGGCTCTTGGGTTTTCTCCGTCGACTGCTGACCCGTCGATGTTTCTGCGCACCGACACTTCGCTGCCGCCGTTCTACATCCTCGTGTACGTCGACGACTTGGTCTTTGCCACTGCTGACACTGAGGCTCTCGCCCTGCTGAAGTCGGAGCTGCAGAAGAGACACACGTGTACAGACCTGGGTGAGCTGCGCAGTTACCTTGGCTTGCAGATCACCCGGGACAGAGCACGCCGCACCATCACCCTGACTCAGTCACACATGGTGCAGCAGGTCCTTCAGCGCTTCGGCTTCACCTGGTCCTCGGCACAGGTCACTCCTCTGGCTACAGGTCACTCGCTCTCAGCTCCACCTTCGGACGAGTCCGTAGAGCCGAGTGGTCCTTACCCAGAGCTAGTGGGCTGCCTCATGTACCTGATGACCTGCACTCATCCTGACCTTGCGTACCCTCTTGACCTTCTGGCTCGCTATGTGGCTCCTGGTCGGCACCGAAAGGTGCACATGGATGCTGCTAAGAGGGTACTACGCTACTTGTGCTGTACATCGGGCATGGGGCTCGTGCTTGGAGGACGGAGCGACGTTGTCCTCACTGGGCACTCAGACGCTTCTTGGGTTGACGACCAGGCTACGCAGCGGTCGTCACAGGGTTACACCTTCAGGCTTGGCTCTGGTTCGGTTTCGTGGCGTTCTACACGCTCATCTTCAGTTCTCAGTTCCAGTTGTGAGGCTGAGATCTACGCCACAGCCATGGCTGCACAGGAGTTACGCTGGCTCACCTACCTGCTGACCGACTTGGGAGAGCGGCCTCGTTCTCCTCCAGTGCTGTACGTCGACAACAAGGCCGCCATTGCCTTGTGTCAGGAGCACAGACTGGAGCACAGGACAAAGCACATCGCTCTACGTTACTTCCTGGCTCGAGAGTTGCAGCAGCGTGGTCAGCTTCGTCTTGCTCAAGTGGCCACTCGGGCCAACACTGCTGATATATTCACCAAGGCGCTTCAGTCTGGTGATCATCAGCGTTTCTGCACTCTGTTAGGCCTTGTGCCCACGTTTCCTCACTTGCTGTAGACTTTGCTTGTACTGTGATCTATATATATACCTGCATGCTTGCTCTGCTAGGTAGAGATTACTGTGCTGTTGTTGTTGCATATATACCTCTGCATGTGAACTGGCCTTGTGGCCCTTTGCTTGTGCTCAGTGTGTGTGGTGACGTTGTGATCCACCCTGGGCTTGCTTTGCTTCTCTTGACTGGTCTTGTGACCCCTTGCTCTCCCCCACTTTGCCTATGGGGGTGTGTCAAAGTATATGCATGTTATATATGTGTAGGTTGTAGTGGGGTAGCCAATATGGGGTACAGCAACTTTTAGGGTTTCATATTTGTACCCAATTCTTTGATAGTTCAATCATTCGTGCTGCTAGATTCTAACAGCCTACTCCCATCTCACCTCCCCTCCCCCTACCACCTCTCCTGCCCCTATCAGGCACTCCTTGCTCACCTCCTCTCCCCCTACCAGGGGCACTCTTCTCACCTCCCCTCCCCTACCCCTTTTTTCCCCCTCCCCTACGAAGGGCGTTCTGGTCACACCCTGCCCCTCCAGGAGTCCCACACTCCTATTCTCCCATGTTTGGTCCCCCAGCATTCCCTTGCTCGGTTTCTGTGCTTGTGTTGCAGGTGGGGAGCCTTCCCGACTGCACATCCTACTATCTGCGCCTCAGGGCACATAAGAGCCAGCAACCAGGGCATGGGGAGCGATGCCAATGGGAATGGGAATGGCAGGGGAGCGTGGCAACGGCCACGAGCGAAGCAGCTTCAAGGCTCTTGGTCACTTGGCCCTTGCTTAGATGGTCCAGGCATCTAATATGCCGCCTTGAACATTAGCACATAAACACACCCTCTCCCTTCCCCTTTTAGGCATTTCTTACTGACCCAACACGTCGTGCCATACACGGTTTATAGGGTTTATAGGGTTAGAAAGCAGTATGTAACACATCACCAGTTTTATAGCATCTACTCTACTATAACACAGTATGTAATCAAAGCAGTTTGGTTAGAAAGCAGTATGTAAAATCAGAGGCGATCCCTCCAAATCAGGTCGCCTTTCCAGGACACCACAAGCTTTTGGGGCTGCCAGGCGGACCAGTCATTGGAGGTCAACTCCAGCAGCACCACATTCATTTCTGCATAGCAAATCTGCCCGTTGCCGTCCGTCCACAGCGCCCCAAACCTGCATGAGGGATGGGGTGAGGCAGAGATGGGGTGAGGCAGAGATGGGGTGAGGCAGAGATGGGGTGAGGCAGAGATGGGGCGAGCAGCGCGTTGGTAGTACGGTACTGGAGGTGGAAAGTGGGAACTGTGGGTAGGGGGAGGGAGGGAGGGTAAGCAAGGGAAGGGAGCATAAGGAGGGGATGCAGGGGGGGAAAGGAAGGGAAGCAGAGGGGGAAAGGAGGGGATGCAGGGGGGGAAAGGAGGGGACGCAGGGGAATTAAGGGTGGGAAAAGAGGGGATACAGGGGGAGGGGAGTAGGAGGGAAAGCAAAGGGGGGTGCGAAATGGGTGCATGCTCAGAGGAAACGGAGGAGATGAGTTCAAGCGGGGGGGCGGAATGAATTCAAGCGTGTGGACGAGGCCTTCCCACGCATTTCGTGTATTGAAGAAATCCGTGGGGCGAGCAGCGCGTGGGGCGAGCAGCGCGTTACTGGTGGCTGCAGTAGGATGGCTGGCACGCGAACGCTTCTGGATAGCATTTCGCTGGCGCTCGCGTGCCTACAACCGCGTGATGTTTGCCGGCGAGTCTAAGCATCACATACGCTCGCTGTGCTGTGGCGCGCGCTATGCACGCGCGTGCCGCTGGGATGCGTCCCTTTTGCTGGCGCACGCAGCTCTGCTGAGCGCCCCTGTTAGCGCGCGCGGAATACCAGCCTAGCGCGCGCAAGTGCCGCGCGCGGAATGGCAGCGTAGCTGGCGCTAGTCCCGCGCGCGGAATGGCAGCGTAGCTGGCGTAAGTGGCGCTAGCGGACTGCAAGCATAGCTGGCGCCAGTGACGCGCGCGGAATGACAGCGTATTAGATGCTTATTCTCCGCGCTTCTGGTCTAGCATCGAAAGGCCCCCGCCCGGTTGTTTGTACCTAATCTATTAGCTATAGTTGCTTATTCTCCGTGGTGTGTGAGGTGAAAAGTGAGTTAGGTGACGGGAGGCCTTTCCCATTTTGTGACTGACAACCTACCCAACCCTTGTTCCCTCGCAGAAGCACTTCAGTTTTTCGCCAACACTCTCGCAATTCTGTTTTTATTTTCGTTAAGGCGAAATCGCCTGGCACACTGTACAGAAGCAACAGTGCTGCCAAATGTATACTCCTGCTTCATGTGTAGTGTGTGTTAACAGGTAGCTAAATCATGACAAGTGGTTAACAGGTTTGATTGACTAACCAAATCATGTCCATGTAGACTTCATTTCACAGCGCGTTGGAACTTGGCTCGCCTTTCATTAAAGCAATTCATCCCTCCTCTAAAGCTGAGAAACCACATTCTACTTCCCACATGTTGGAAACAATCGATCTTAAAGCGCCTCTGTCGTGTCGAAACACTAAGGCACAAACGAAGCGAAGCACATCGAATCACCTGCGAGTCAACCCTCGGAGGTTGAAAGTAACTGTTGGAGGTTACGCGAAAGCCAAAGGTCAGCGACCTTTGACCTGACAGAGTACAGCGCGACAACAAGGACACACAACTGACTCGCTACAGAGCAGTTGCCCGAGTCGTCACTGTATCGAACCGCAACAGCAACAGTAAAACAGTTATAACTGTACTCCTTCATATTCCTTGTACTCTTATATATAATCTTGTATCTCTTTGTCTTAATCAATCAACTTTGCCCTCACATACTAGCGCAAGGTGGTTCAACTACTTCATTAAAGCTTCCGCTATTACATCAGTTCTACCCAGAGTTCACCCCTGCAAAGATCCTAAGGGCTATTTTCTAATCCCAACACCACATACCCCAAACCTCAGCAGCACTCTCTGCCCAGATCCAGCACAATCCAGATTCTAGGGTTTAAGCATAAATCCACGCCAGCTCATGCAGGAACCTGCTGGAGGCATTCTACAGACCGGTGTACCTTCCGTATGTCTGCTGGAGGTACCTTCCGTATCTAACACCACCTCATATGAAATTGCCCATAAACCCTTCAACGGGTCAACTCATACCTACCTCTTCCTCACACTACGAATCCGCTCCTTCCTTATCAGACTACCGACCAGCACCTTATCGCACCACTAACCAGCCTCTTATGGCTGGTCTGTCCTCCTATCCCGTCTCCTCCTCAAACCCTTCCTCCATCTCAGCTGTAGCAGCAATCTCTGCTTCACTCCGTTGTTACCTCAGAATCCTCGGGGTGATGGCTATCCGGTCAAAGTTATGCAACACCCACTGCCCGAACCCGGGGGAATAGGCCAGACCTTGCAGGGCTGCGTGGGTGCACTCTTATAGCCCTTGCCTCCACACATCCTCTCCTCTCCTCTCCTCTCCTCTCCTCTCCTCTCCTCTCCTCTCCTCTCCTCGCCTCTCTTCTCTCCTCTTCTCATCCGCACCACAACCCCTACCCCTCCTCCTCCTCAAATCCTTCTTCCATCTCAGCTGTAGCAGCAATCTCTGCTTCACCCCGCTCCTCTCTCAGAATCCTCGGAGTAATCGCTATCCGGTCAAAGTTATGCAACACCCACTGCCCGAACCCGGGGGAATAGGCCAGGTCTTGCAGGGCCGCCTGCGTGCACTGGTGCGAGATGGCTGCTGCCTGTGCCGGGGTGAGGTGGCGGCGGTGCGGCGTGCGGTGGAAGGAGGAGGGGCACACCGAGCGGGAGAGGGGGGAAGAGGGGGTGCGAGGCGTGCCTGTGAGGGGGGAGGGGAGAGGGGAAAGAGAGGAGATACACTATCAAATGAGTGTTTCACATCAAGTGCAGCACAAACAGGACAAAGTGAGCGAGTGAAAAGGTGTGAGAGTGAGAGAGAGAAAGGGAAAGGGGGGGAGAGAGAGAGAAAGCAGTGGGGAAAGGGAGAGAGAAAGCAGTGGGGAAAGGGAGAGAGAGAAGGGGGGGACGGAGGGAGGGAGGGAGAAGCGACGGGGAAGAGGGAAAGAGAGAGAGAAAGGACCATTCGAGAAATGCTACAAGAGACAAGAGGCCATACCTGGTGCTCTGTGGAAGGGTGTTGCTGTGCGGATGTAAGGAGAGGAAGACTGAGAGGAAGAGAGTGAGAGGGAAGAGAGAGAGAGACACACACAGGCCATACCTGGTGGTCCCTGGAAAGGCGCCCCCATGCGCATGTAAGGTGACCCATCAGCCCCTCTCGTGGGAGTCACATACCCCTGCCCTCCCCCCACACCTCCCATACGCCCCTGAGGGGGTGTGCCGAACTGCTGTGGGGGAGAAAAGGCACCACCGACTCCCCCCACCTCCCCTTCGTGCTCTGCTGCTTGCTCGCCTTTCCGAACGCAGGCACGGGCCAGGAAGGAGGTGGCGGGGGTGGCAGAGGGGGTGGAGGTGGGGGAGAGGAGCGCGAGGGCCCGTGGGGAGAGGAGGTGCAGGAGGAGGGTGGTGGAGAGGGAGAGGAGGAGGAGCGACGTTGCGATGATGGCATCGGCTGAACTCTGTGGGAGGGAGGGGTGGGACGAAGGGGGAGAGGGAGCATTGAGTTTTAAGACGTTTCACAAGGAGGGTGATGGAGAGGGAGAGGCGGAGGAGGGACGTTGCGATGATGGCATCGGCTGAACTCTGTGGGAGGGAGGGGTGTGGGAAGAGAGGGGGAAGGGAGTGGGCAGAGGTAAGGGGTTGGTGAGGGAATGGTGACAGTGGGTGAGAGTGAGTGTCTTACCCAACCGCACATAACAAGCAGAGTTGCATATCTTGGAATGTACCATGACATGATAAGCAAAATGCGTTTATCCAAGCTTCACAATGTACCATGATAAGCAGCGTAGCTGCAATTATTCGGAGGCCCCATTTAACGAACGACACTGTAGGGGGGTCCAGCTCGCCTGTGGGCGAGAGGATGAATTTCCGCACCACCCAGAAACCCAGCGCCGCTCCTATAAGCACCACCAGTACAAGCACAAACACCACCACCTGACGAAAGGTATGGGACGACATGACGAAAAGTGGGATGGCAGAAAGCATAAGTAAAAAGGGTTGGTTGGTGGAAGGCGAAAAGGGGCACTGAGAGGAACGAATGGAAAAAGGGTTGTGGTGAAGAATAAGGAGAGAATGGAAATGGTAGAATCTTGAGGGATACTGGCAGGTGGGAGAAGCAGAAGATTCGTGTGAGTTGCACTTTACTCATTGTGACAATGGCAATGGCTCCTGAGAGACAACGACAGGCGGACAGCCACCAAAGGCATGGGATAACAAAAGTGTTTTGAGACGTCTCAAAACACTTTTATTATCACGTGGCGGACAGCCACCAAAGGCATGACACGGATTACAAGAGCAGTGAGGTGTATTTTGAGGCGCCTCAAAATACACCTCAAAGGCATGGCACGGATTACAAGAAAGGCGACGGGTTTACTAGGGTGGAAATGGCATGATAATCGGAAACATGGCACGACAATCGGAAACATGGCACGACAATCGGAAACATGGCACGACAATCGGAAACATGGCACGACAATCGGAAACATGGCACGACAATCGGAAACATGGCACGACAATCGGAAACATGGCACGACAATCGGAAACATGGCACGACAATCGGAAACATGGCACGACAATCGGAAACATGGCACGACAATCGGAAACATGGCACGACAATCGGAAACATGGCACGACAATCGGAAACATGGCACGACAATCGGAAACATGGCACGACAATCGGAAACATGGCACGACAATCGGAAACATGGCACGACAATCGGAAACATGGCACGACAATCGGAAACATAGCACGACAATCGGAAACATGGCACGACAATCGGAAACATGGCACGACAATCGGAAACATGGCACGACAATCGGAAACATGGCACGACAATCGGAAACATGGCACGACAATCGGAAACATGGCACGACAATCGGAAACATGGCACGACAATCGGAAACATGGCACGACAGTCGGAAACATGGCACGACAATCGGAAACATAGCACGACAATCGGAAACATGGCACGACAATCGGAAACATGGCACGACAATCGGAAACATGGCACGACAATCGGAAACATGGCACGACAATCGGAAACATGGCACGACAATCGGAAACATGGCACGACAATCGGAAACATGGCACGACAATCGGAAACATGGCACGACAATCGGAAACATGGCACGACAATCGGAAACATGGCACGACAATCGGAAACATGGCACGACAATCGGAAACATGGCACGACAATCGGAAACATGGCACGACAATCGGAAACATGGCACGACAATCGGAAACATGGCACGACAATCGGAAACATGGCACGACAATCGGAAACATGGCACGACAATCGGAAACATGGCACGACAATCGGAAACATAGCACGACAATCGGAAACATGGCACGACAATCGGAAACATGGCACGACAATCGGAAACATGGCACGACAATCGGAAACATGGCACGACAATCGGAAACATGGCACGACAATCGGAAACATGGCACGACAATCGGAAACATAGCACGACAATCGGAAACATGGCACGACAATCGGAAACATGGCACGACAATCGGAAACATAGCACGACAATCGGAAACATGGCACGACAATCGGAAACATAGCACGACAATCGGAAACATGGCACGACAATCGGAAACATAGCACGACAATCGGAAACATAGCACGACAATCGGAAACATGGCACGACAATCGGAAACATAGCACGACAATCGGAAACATGGCACGACAATCGGAAACATAGCACGACAATCGGAAACATGGCACGACAATCGGAAACATGGCACGACAATCGGAAACATGGCACGACAATCGGAAACATGGCACGACAATCGGAAACATGGCACGACAATCGGAAACATGGCACGACAATCGGAAACATGGCACGACAATCGGAAACATGGCACGACAATCGGAAACATGGCACGACAATCGGAAACATGGCACGACAATCGGAAACATGGCACGACAATCGGAAACATGGCACGACAATCGGAAACATGGCACGACAATCGGAAACATGGCACGACAATCGGAAACATGGCACGACAATCGGAAACATGGCACGACAATCGGAAACATGGCACGACAATCGGAAACATGGCACGACAATCGGAAACATGGCACGACAATCGGAAACATGGCACGACAATCGGAAACATGGCACATGCACGACAATCGGAAACATGGCACGACAATCGGAAACATAGCACGACAATCGGAAACATGGCACGACAATCGGAAACATGGCACGACAATCGGAAACATGGCACGACAATCGGAAACATGGCACGACAATCGGAAACATGGCACGACAATCGGAAACATGGCACGACAATCGGAAACATGGCACGACAATCGGAAACATGGCACGACAATCGGAAACATAGCACGACAATCGGAAACATGGCACGACAATCGGAAACATGGCACGACAATCGGAAACATGGCACGACAATCGGAAACATAGCACGACAATCGGAAACATGGCACGACAATCGGAAACATAGCACGACAATCTGAAACATGGCACGACAGTCGGAAACATGGCACGACAATCGGAAACATGGCACGACAATCGGAAACATGGCACGACAATCGGAAACATGGCACGACAATCGGAAACATGGCACGACAATCGGAAACATGGCACGACAATCGGAAACATGGCACGACAATCGGAAACATGGCACGACAATCGGAAACATGGCACGACAATCGGAAACATGGCACGACAATCGGAAACATGGCACGACAATCGGAAACATGGCACGACAATCGGAAACATGGCACGACAATCGGAAACATGGCACGACAATCGGAAACATGGCACGACAATCGGAAACATGGCACGACAATCGGAAACATGGCACGACAATCGGAAACATGGCACGACAATCGGAAACATGGCACGACAATCGGAAACATGGCACGACAATCGGAAACATGGCACGACAATCGGAAACATGGCACGACAATCGGAAACATGGCACGACAATCGGAAACATGGCACGACAATCGGAAACATGGCACGACAATCGGAAACATGGCACGACAATCGGAAACATGGCACGACAATCGGAAACATGGCACGACAATCGGAAACATGGCACGACAATCGGAAACATGGCACGACAATCGGAAACATGGCACGACAATCGGAAACATGGCACGACAATCGGAAACATGGCACGACAATCGGAAACATGGCACGACAATCGGAAACATGGCACGACAATCGGAAACATGGCACGACAATCGGAAACATGGCACGACAATCGGAAACATGGCACGACAATCGGAAACATGGCACGACAATCGGAAACATGGCACGACAATCGGAAACATGGCACGACAATCGGAAACATGGCACGACAATCGGAAACATGGCACGACAATCGGAAACATGGCACGACAATCGGAAACATGGCACGACAATCGGAAACATGGCACGACAATCGGAAACATGGCACGACAATCGGAAACATGGCACGACAATCGGAAACATGGCACGACAATCGGAAACATGGCACGACAATCGGAAACATGGCACGACAATCGGAAACATAGCACGACAATCGGAAACATGGCACGACAATCGGAAACATAGCACGACAATCGGAAACATGGCACGACAATCGGAAACATGGCACGACAATCGGAAACATGGCACGACAATCGGAAACATGGCACGACAATCGGAAACATGGCACGACAATCGGAAACATGGCACGACAATCGGAAACATGGCACGACAATCGGAAACATGGCACGACAATCGGAAACATGGCACGACAATCGGAAACATGGCACGACAATCGGAAACATGGCACGACAATCGGAAACATGGCACGACAATCGGAAACATGGCACGACAATCGGAAACATGGCACGACAATCGGAAACATGGCACGACAATCGGAAACATGGCACGACAATCGGAAACATGGCACGACAATCGGAAACATAGCACGACAATCGGAAACATAGCACGACAATCGGAAACATGGCACGACAATCGGAAACATGGCACGACAATCGGAAACATAGCACGACTATGAGCGAGGTGAATGGTTACCAAGAGTTTCACATGACACCCTGGGAGGAAATAGCATGATTGCAAGCGAAATGATAAAATGACGAGAGGGATGGCATAAGTACCGGAGAGATGACGTCATCAACCAGGCCAAGAGGCTCCATGACAGTCTTGACCGCCCCCGAGACGTATGTTACGATCACGCCTATGAACCCCATCTGGTGGGGAGGGGTGGGGAGGAGAATCGCATGACAGGTGCATATGAAAAGTGCATCCTTAGAAGTCTCGACCGCCCCTGTGACGTATGTTATGATCACTCCTATGAACCCCATCTAGTCTGACGTGCATCAGTTGAGGTTCCAAGACGGTCTTGACTGGCCCTGTGGCGTATGCGACGGCCCCTGTCAAACCCATCTGATGAAAATGAGTGGGGGGGAAGAACTGCATCAAAGGTGCAGCTGCGAAGTGTTTCTGTGAAAGCTGAAAGTTTTGATTGCCCCTGTGACGCAATTTTTGAAGCACTCCCATGTGGTTTATTTGGGAGGGCCGGGTGGGGCAGAGAAGTACGACAAGGGGATCGATACAAAGCGGGGTAGTAATAGTGAGATAAATACAAATGTTGAGACGACTGATGAGGCGACTACAAAGAGGTGATGGGTAGCAGAGAACCAAAAGCAGAGGCATGCATGCACGGCACGCATGGACCCATACATCCACACCCATGCATACATGGCACTCTGACCCACCAGCGAGGCAGCTTGCACCCACCAGGGATCCATAGAGGAGTATCTGAAGGCTGCTCTTGCGACCCAGCGGCAGCAACCGCATGACCTGATGGCATGAGTGGTGGTATGGTTGATGGTATGGGTGATGGGATGGGTAATGGGATGGGTGATGGGGTGGGTGATGGGGTGGGTGATGGGGTGGGTGATGGGGTGGGTGATGGGATGGGTAATGGGATGGGTGATGGGGTGGGTGATGGCATGGGTGGTGGCATGGGTGATGGCATGGGTGGTGGGATGGCATGGGTGATGGCATGGGATGATGGCATGGGTGATGGGTGATGGCATGGGTGATGGCAGGGATGGTTCGTGATACATATATGATCGAGTGGAGACAGAAAGAGGTGTGGGAGGGGGAATCTGAGCCATACAAGCAAAAGCCATTGCTCACGGAACACACACCACACACACGCGCCACACACAACACACACAGCACAGCACACCATACCTGGTAGAGAATCACAATGACCACGAGCAGCACGCCCAGAGTCATGCCCCCTCCGTAGTAAAAAGCCACCATAGAGCTTAGATGGCCCGCCAGCAGCATGAGCAGGAACCCCAGGACAAAGAACACCGCCCGGTGAGGCTCCAGGTCTGACCAAACACAGACGAGGAGGGAAAAGGGAGGTCATAATAAAGGACGTTACAACAAAAGTATCAGGCCATTCGGAAACAGGAAAGGGAAAACCACCCGCATTATATTTCAATACCTTCCTACTCCTTCCTCCTCCCTCTCTCACCTTCGTCTACTTTGATGCTGACGTCATGATCCCCAGCGACCCCACCGTCTCGTTTCACATCAATGAACGCGCCCTCGAAAGGCGACCGCAGCACCACCCACCGCCCCTTCCTGTCCACTGCTCGCCAAGCCCCTCTTGGACACTCTCCCAGAGGTTGTGAGGCATTCCTGGGAAGCCACAGGAAGAGGGAAGAGCATGGGGAGGAATAGAGTTAGCAGGAATGAAACAGAGGACCGCATGACCAACCCTTCCTGTCCACCGCTCGCCACGCCCCCCTTGGGCACTCCCCTAGGGGCTGCGAGGCATTCCTGGAGTGATGCAGGGGAGGGGAGCATCGGGAATGAGATGCAGTTAGCAGGGGGAAAAAAGGATCCCAGAACAAACAACCCACCCACTCACCCGCCCGCCCACCAACCCACCCACTGCCCCTTTCTGTCCACTGCTCGCCACGCCCCCCACTGACACTCGCTCACTCACCAATGCACGCAGAACTCGAACTTGGGTGCGGGGGGGGAAAAAGCCCCACGCGGGATTCCCACAGCAGGGATGGTGGCCGTGACTCTGAGCACGTGGAACCCGCGAGACACGCCCCTCAAGAGCGGCCGAGCGGGGAGGCGCGTGCGAGCGATGCTGCACACAGAGGCAGCACCGCCGCCCCTGATGCTACTGAATCTGGAACGACCACACTGTTGACACCCAGATGAAGCTCTGATGGGGGTTGGGAGGGAGGGAAGGGAGGGGGAAGTGAGAGCGAGTTGGGAGGCGCGTGCGAGCGATGCAGACAGAGGCAGCACCGTCCACCCCTGATGCTACTGGGTCTGAAACCTCCACGCTGTTTACGCCCACATGGAGCTCTGATGAGGGTTGGGTGGGAGAAGGAAGGGGGGGAGTGCGGCGTGCTGTGAAGTGGGGACGAGAGGCGTCGTCTGATGCAATTGGGTCTGAAACAGTCTTAAGAGTTCCCCAAACCTCCACGCTGCTCACGCCCAGATGGAGCTCTGATGAGGGTTGGGAGGGAACAGAGGGGGGTAGTGGGGAAGGCTCTGAATGTGCGATGAGGCACCTCGCCTGCTGCTAATGAATTCTTTACCTCTACACTGCTGACTACTAGAGAAATATCTGGACGGGTTTTGGGTGGGAACGAAGGGGGAGAGGAGCCAAGACGGGGAGAACGTGCGAGAAATGCAGGGAGGTTGGGGGAAAACGATTAGAGGGAAGGGGTTGGATGTCAAGGGTTTGTGGGGAAAGGGGTTGGAGGAATAGGGGTTGGGTGCAATGTCCGAGCGAGATGCGCTGTTTAGCTTGAAGATCCGTTGTCCCGCTTTGACATTCCTGGTCTTACATCCTGGATCAGGGATGATTCAGATGTTCCAGACGACACACCTTGTAGATTATACCCGCTTTTGAGTCGACTCACTAAGAATTAGGGACCTAGACGTTCCAATCGACTAACTGAGCTTTTGTGCCGAGTCACTGATAATAAGGAAGTCAGAGGTTCCAGACGACGCACCTAGTAGTTTATAGCCGTTGGAGGCTCCTCGTTCCGTGTGGAAATCGCTGAACGCGTAGCTGTCGCCAGTGGGATTCTCGAATGCGCTTACTGGCGGTGTTCCCGATGCCAGGAGCGCCAGCAGGAAAACAGAACATGCCATCCCGATATAACGACGCTTAACCGGGGTGCAACGGATACTAACGCGGATGTTACGAATTTCGAGAGCCATGAGCGATGGCTGCCACAGACACCCTGGTCTAGAGTTAGTACACAGTTAATAGTCAACTCGCTAAGGACACAGTTAGTCCAGCCCTTGTCAGACAAGGACACTCAACAGTTTAAGTTCAACTAATACAGCGTGACGAAGACTAGCTTCTAGCCTAGAATCCTTAAAAAAAGAGGCTGATCGGGCGAGTTCCGGCCACCCTTAGTCCTCAAATTTGACGTCACCTGACTTAGTCGTCTAACACGACAATTCGGTGAATCTATGACGCACTTTCCACGGCACTGAAGACGAAAATGCTCTGATACCCATCATAGTAGGCTCATTAAAGAATACATCAAGCATAACACTCCGTAACTCGAATTAATCAGTCCACTCATCTGACTTCATACTTCGTGCCAGGCAACCAACGCAACGCGTGCGCGAAATTCAGCAACCGGTTACCTAACTAGTTTTCATACGCGTGCTGAAACCGAGGTCAACGTCGTAACTATCACTAGCCTAATTGCCCATCCCGAGCCTTCAACTAAAGACGAATCGCGATAACGAGCTGATCAGAATGGCTCGGAAAAGCTGATCAGAGAGATACGTATCCCTGAAGGCCAAATTCAGGAGAGCGAGTTTTGGCGGGAAACACGTCGAATCAGGCGGAAAGCAACTGATTCGCTTCAAGTTGATTCGCTAACAGACGATTAAATCGGATTGAATTGGACAGGCTTTGAAGTGACATGAATATCACAATCATTTAGAATATCATTCCCATATCCATACAGCATATCCCTCCCCACATGTAATTAAGTTCCACTTCTTCAACAAGGAATCACTTGCTGCATTGCTCCATATCCTTCCACCATCACCCACATCACAAAAATCACCGGACTTCAGAAGTCCTTCTATTTCGCTTGAATCAGGGCTCCACTCTCCATCTCCGATCTTCACACACAGACTTCCCCCAACAATGGCAGCATATCTGCTGTCATCTGCCGCGAGTATCTGGATGGAAGAACGGCTATGTATGCCTGCCGTCCGCCGAGCATCAATCTGCCAGCAATGCAATTGCATGCAATGTGTGTGTGCATCATAAAAGACGTAACATTGCGCAATAAATACAAACAACCAGCCAGATCAAGCCGCTATCTCTGAATCATGACATGCACAACGACAGTTCACCATGAATGTAACCACAAACCCTAACAGCGGCCCCACCCCATTCGGCTTCCTCACCAGTTGTTGGATTTGGTTCTTAGGATACAGGCCCCAGTTGAATAAATGGTCGTAAAACACCGATAAAAAGTTAGCAAAAAAAAATCAAGACATGGTCGTAACGGTCTAAGCTTCAGACTTTGAGAAACGCCCCCCATCCCATTCAGCTAGCTCACCAGTTGTTGGATTTGGTTCTTAAGATCCGCGCCCCAGTCGAAGAAATGGTCGTAAAACACCGATGGGATACCTGGATGTGTTAGAATGTAGGCATAGCCCTGTGGGGAGTGTAGGGCAAGGTGGGGCGTGGAGGGCAAGGTAGTGAGCACGGCCAATGTGTAGTTGATTGAGAAAAGAGTGCGGTCCATCGAGGGGCCATAGTCGAGACGGCAGCAACGCAGGAAAATAGTGACAACCCTAAAACTGGAGTAGTAACAAAGTGTAAATCAGCACTTGGCTTGCCTGGGACTTGTACAAAACAATGGAAAACTCTTGCGAGAACAGATTGACTTGGACAGGAATGAGAGGTAAATGTGGGAGAGGAGGGTGGTTGGCTTGCCTGGATGACGGCATGCGAGGGGAAGGGCCAGTGAGCCTGCACGGCACAGTCACAGAACACACAGGGCGAGAAACACACAAGAGCGCAAGCGTGCAAGTCAGAGCAGACCACCAGACCACCAGACCACCAGAACCAAATCATAGCAAGTTTTTTTTAGTAGACTAAAACATTGGCACAGTCACAGACACACACTGGGCGAGAGGAACACACAAGAGTGCAAGCGAGCGAGTCAGAGCAGCAGACCACCATACCACCAGAACCGAGTCATAGCAAGGGAAATGCTACAAACCAGAAACAGCGCCAGAGGTGACTTTTGAATCGACACAAAAGTCGCTACGAGCGAGTGCGTCAGTGCCGACCAGCAGACCAGCAGAGTCAAACCAGAGCAAGGGAAATGCTACAAGCCACAAACAGCTTCTGTCATGAAAATCAGCTCCACAAATGCTTCAGACCTTTCGAGACGTCTCAAAAAGAACCTCTATACACGTGGCAGTCATGAAAATCAGCCCCACAAATGCTTCAGGCCTTTCCAGCAGCACAGGACAGGACATGGAAGAAGCGCCTAAGACTATGCTGGATTCTCTTGAACATAATTTGTCCTGAACGTCTGTTGTATTCACCTGAAAATCTGTTGTATTCACCTGAGTGGAGCCGGTGTCATGATTATCGACAAATGTGACGGCATGAGAGGGCAGCAGGCCCATCACGCCTGGCGGGCGGCCTTCCTTGTCCTTTAGCCGCCACCACTCCTTCCTTTTCACTGCCTCCTGCAGAGGAGCAAGCAAGGTGCAGAGGTGAGAGAGCGGGAGGGGCAGAGTGGGGGAATGAGCGAGAAGGGAAGAGTGGTTTGTAAATATGAGAAGTGATAACATTGTAAGACACAGAAAGGGTATCCGCGCTTCACAAGCATACGCTCGCTCATTCTCCCACTCAACTCACTCACTCATTCACTCACTCACTCACTCACTCACTCACTTTCCCACTCACTTGCCCACTCACTTGCCCACTCATTTTACCAGTCACTTCCACTCACTGACCTGCAAAACTGCCTTGGTGGTGAAGTCAAAGGCAGCTGCCAGCCTGCCCGCCCCTTCAATCCACTCCACTATGCGCCCCCGGTGCGAGTCTGGCTGCACAGCAGCCGGGTGGAGGTGATATCCGGGGGAGGGGTTCAGGCACAAGAATGCTCTTTGTGTATTTATAGCTCACTGGCTCATTCGCTCAGAAACACGTGAAATGAGGGTGTTTTTGAGACGTCTCAAAATCACCCTCATTTCACGTAGCCGCGTGGAGGTGATATCCGGGGGAGGGGTTCAGGCACAAGGACGCTTTTTGTGTATTTATAGCTCACTGGCTCATTCGCTCAAAAGCATCTCCATCCGCACAGCCTCTCTCCCTCTCACCCAGGCTTGCCATACACAAACACGCCCCACACTCTCACACTCTCACACTCTCACACTCTCACACTCTCACTCCTCTTACTCTCACCCACCCTGGTCGTAGTCAAGGTCGTATTTCGCCCGCACGCAGTTGCAGGTGTCCCTACTCGTCACACAAACATGCCCACTCTCACACTTTGATACACTCACACTCTGACAGTCGCCACTCTCACCCACCCTGGTCGTAATCAAGATCGTATTGCGCCCCCACGTAGTTGCAGGTGTCCCAGTACTCGCCCACACACAGGCCTGCCCACAGTCTCTCACACTCTGACACTCTCGCACTCTCACAGCCTTACACAAACACCCTCTCACCCACCCTGGTCGTAATCAAGGTCATATTGGGGCCCAATGTAGTTACAGGTGTCCCAATACTCGCCCACACACAGACATGACTAAAGGCTCACAGTCTTACATTTTCACAGTCCCACAGTCTCGCTCACTCATAGTGTCACCCACCTTGATCGTAGTGAAGATCGTATTGGGGCCCGGTGTAATTGCAGGTGTCCCAATACTCGCCCACACACAGGCACAGCCGTGCCCCCTGCACATACCCCCTCACATACCCCCGGTTTCACAGTCTCACAACCTCACCCAACCCACCTTGATCGTAGTGAAGATCGTATTGCGCCCCGGTATAATTGCAGGTGTCCCAATACTCGCCCACACACAGGCGCAGCCGTGCCCCCTGCACATACCCCCGCACATACACCGCACTGTACCCCTTGCCATAGTCAAAGCGGAACCCAGAGAAGCCCACATCGGTCTGTGGGCATAGGGCAATGGGGCATGGGGCATGGGGCATGGGGCATGGGGCATGGGAGCAGAGGATAACAATAGAGGCACGCACTGAATTGGTGAAGCCACGCATCTATGCACCCAGCCCAACCCTGACAAGTGATACCAGCCGACATGCCTCACTTGGAGCCACGTCAGCCATGCCACATTTCTCACCTGGAGCAACGTCAGCCATGCCACACGTCTCACCTGGAGCCACGTCAGCCATGCCACACGTCTCACCTGGAGCTACGTCAGCCATGCCACACGTCTCACCTGGAGCTACGTCAGCCATGCCACACGTCTCACCTGGAGCCACGTCAGCCATGCCACACGTCTCACCTGGAGCCACTTCAGCCAAGCTATGAGATCTTGGCACACGAACGGTTGAGAGTGGTCGATGTTGGACACCCCCTCAAACACACTGCCACTGCTGGGGTTGCCCTGTCGAGGGGAGATGGGTGGAGGTTGACAGGGAAAGGTCCCAAGCGGTTGAGAGTGGTTGATATTGATTGGATCCCCTCAAACACGCTGCCACTGGTGGGGCTGTCCTGCCGAGGGGAAGAAGGGATGGAAATGAAGGAGGCGGAAAGGGGGGAAAGGCCAAAGGGCAGGAAGCGGCAAAAGCATCATGAGAGGAGAGGAGAAGCGCAAAGGAACGGACCGGACCGCCCTGCAGCAGGGACGTGCCGTCGAAGCGAGTCCAATGCCCGCTCAGCCCCCGTCAACTGCATGCACCACACCTGTCAGCCATTTCCACCTCACCTCATCATACCCCACCACACCTCGCCCCATCCCACCTTGCCCCACCGCACCTTACCGCACTGCACCTCACCTTGCCGCCAGTGTCACATGTGACAGCGCTCTCATCCCACGGCATGGACGTGCCATCGAAGCGAGTCCACTGCCCACCTTCCTCCCAGCTCACCATACCCAACCGCACCTCACCTCACTCCATCTCACCTTGCCGCCAGTGTCACATGTGACAGCGCACTCATCCCATGGCATGGACGTGCCATCAAAGCGAGTCC